TACATAAATATTTTTAGAATTGTTATATTTTTTTATAACTAAATATACTGAATAATTATTAAAAAATGAATTGTTATGATTAATAATAATTCTAATTGATATTAATATATAATGTATAATTAGAACTAATTAATACTAGTTATTCTGAATTAATACTAGCGGCGGAACCGTGCGTTGTCTGATAGCATGAGTACTTTGTGTTGATCATCTCTCTCAATAATTTGATGATGATCGTTTTATCTATCGAAGTGTATAATCTATGTATTCAGTTTCAACGATCATCACTATTTGTTCAGTTATCGCTGAACATGTATTGTAATTCGTTCAAAGATCGATATACTTCAAGAAGACAAAACGCACACCATAGATCCTTCAGCGATGTCGAAGACAGAAGCTGAAGATTAGAGACCAGCAAGTTCGTGATCTGAAGCGGTTTTCAGTGATAACAAACTCGTCTACACAAGTGTGAAATCTGCGTAAGATTCAGCGAACACTGATGAGACCTTCAGCGTCATTCCAGTGTCAGCAATCAAATGAATCTTATCGAGCAATATTAGTTTTTGTCTTGTCCTTCTGCACACAAAGGACAAACCCATACCTTTCTAAGTATTGTACAGTACGGAGCCACTCCTTTGACTCTAAACGTGCTTACCTACTTTATGAAAGAGTACTGTTCATATACAACCAAAAGGACTGTATATTGTAACAAAGTAAAAACTTTCCTCTAAAAGTTTGTCACGTGCTCTATACCTTCTGAATTGCATTTAATGCAATAGGTATAAATAGTTGAGTAGTTATCCTCTCAGTTATCATCTTCCTCACTCTAAACTTACCCAAGAAGTTATTTCTCTCTCTACTCTCTGTCTAAGAGAAAGACTCACTTTAACAAGTGAAGAACACATTTCTTCTTGCCTTATTTCTTGTAGCAAGTTTTTTCTTATTGCTATATGTATTTTGTGTATATATTAGATTGTTTAGATATGTTATGTATCTTATCTCTTCCGCAAACAATCTGTAAAATTTGTATTGATCTTCTTTATCAATATATAATTTTTAAAAGTGAAAGTTACCACGCAATGTTTGCTTTTTGTGTTGTATTGTTGTTTTATTGTCTTCTTTTCTCTAGATAATTTATTCCTTTCAAAATGGTTTTGCAAAACACTAGCACCAACTTTCACGATAATGTCTCTCTTGTCAAACATCTCCGGTTTTTTAGACAACTTCAGTTTCTAGAAAAACCAGATGTCTCTCCTTGGAAGGTGTGAATCCTGAACCCTAAACCATAACATAACACTATTGGATCAAATGACTGATACGAATCATGTCCATACATGAGCAGGCTCCGGTGTTTTTTTTATGGATTGCTATTTTAAGTATTATCGGTAGATCGCTTAGCCACGTTCATCTTCCGCGAATTAATTAAGTCCAAATTTTGAAAAGATGAAGAATTATCTTTTCTATATACTTTCCCCAGTTCCGCTACTATTTATTCTTAGAGCGTATTGATTTGACCCCATAAGTGGGACCAAAATGAGGATCCCAAATAAGAAAAACAATGCAATAGGGTTAATAAAATAACACCTATCACTGGGGATCACTACCATTGTCTAATTAAGTCTCAATCTTCATGATGTCCAGATTTGACACAAGGCATGATTGTGTCATCCCCATTATGTCGAATGTCTACTTTTTTTATTCTCGAATATACTGATAAAACAAATATTAACATCCCCATATTTCACATTTGAACATGCATGTATTTCCTTAACACCGATCAATCAAGGGGGCCAGAAACATCACTCTCACAATACATGATAGACAAACCCTATCTTGATGGATACTAGTACTACTATATAATACATGACATACCCAACTATCATTATGAACCTGGAGTGGAACCTCCAACATCTCATTCATTCTACAAATATGACTACCTTCCTACCTTCTTACGCAAAGCTACGAGAATAAATTTGATAAATGTTGTAATTTATCAACTCAAAGCAACAACGAAACATTTGAAGATTGACAAATAAGTCTGATTGGTTTCAACTTGGGCTTCAAAGGTCAACAGTGTCTGGAGATCCTAAGTTCAAATCCAAAAGGGAACAAAAATCCATTTTGATCATGGAGGTTCAAATGCAATAACTCTGAGCTAACCGTAAAACAAATACTCAGTCCAGAATTAATCGGCTCAAGTTAAATATCCATGTTAATAAAAAAAAAATTGCAAATAGTTGGAACATTTTGTAGTGTGACTTCAAAGAAACATGGGGGCGGGAGAAGGGTAGCCGATCTCGGGGCATGGAAATCCACTGAAATATGCAAACAACACCACTCCCATGGCTACCACCCCCGATACCCATCTCTCTATCTCTCATTTTCCTGACCGTCATCAGATGGAGGGTTCTGCTTCTTGTTTATCTCTGAATCTTCATGGTACACCAATACATTTCTTCAGATTCCTCAAGGTCTCTTTTTCTTTTCAATTCCTAAGTTATTGATTCGATCATGGATTCTACAAATCTTCTTCGCTTTATGTTGTTGAAGAATAAATTTCATGGCATTCAATTTGAATTGTTCATGATGAACCTTGTTAGATATATCGTGTTTTCATCACCTTCCAATTGACCAATTTGTATATTGTGGATTAGGTTATAATTTATACCGTAAACAATAGAATTTGTTTTAGATGAATAGGGAATGAAAGGTCTTTGGTTCAGGTAATCATGTTGGTATGTTCATCTTCCATGCAAACATGAAGATTTTGTATGCGTTTTGTCAATTACATGATTTCAATTCTATTCATGATGTTTTATTGATATATTTATCATGCTAATTTACAGTAAGACATGGCTGAAGAAGAAAAGAAGGAAGGGGTTATATTTGCAGTGGGGAATCAGAGAATTCTGTTCTCCGATTCTTCAGTTCCTCTTTCTGCTGAAGGTATAAAATGTCCACCATTGACTGTAACTTATTTTTTCTGGCTTCTATGATTTACTGTTAATAATGACAGATCACGGCCATATTACTAAAAGCTTGTGCTAAGAATGGGGGATCAATCACACAAATACCTCATAAAACTCCACTGTACCCCTAATAATAATAATAATAATTTCAATCACATGTATTTTTGTTACATGCTTCACTAACAAAAGTTTAATAGCTAAATTAGTCCTTCGGTCATACGCTTTCAGTTTTCCCATAAACACCACTTCATTGGGTATCATTCAGTATGGGGGCTCCTGTTAACACTTCCAATGGCCATATCCTGGCAGAAGGAAAAAAACCTAGACACCACCAAAGTACAACCATCACAAACCCCTGGTATCAACACCACCATTGCATATTCTCCAGCCTTCTCCCATGAAATATGACGATGAGGGAAAACCTTCATGAAATTAAACAATGAATTATAGCGGACCACTAGTTTTTTGTTCAACAAAGATTCTGATCTTATTAACTGCGTCCAAAACTATGTGCCAGATGTTCAAATAAAGTCTTACAAAACACATGTCAGTCTGAATAAGATAGAAAATGAATATTGATTGATTTGCCATCATGAGAGAGTGAACAAGAAGGCAATTGCTCTTGAAGGAATGATTTTTTTAGGGGCTTGAGAAATGTTAATTATATATTTGTTGGTCTTACCAAGTTCCAGAGCTAGCAATAGCAATCCTAAACCTCCTATCATGTAAAGCAGCTCCATTGTCAATTTTCTCAAACACAGATACATAGGAAGAATATGAGAAGCGAGGCATAAAAGAAGGTATGTAATGTCAGTCCTACAAGCTTTATATTGTGTGTACTGTTTTGTCGTGTCGGTATGTGTAAGTGTGTTGTATCTTGAAGGATTTATATTTTAGCCTGAGCTGAAGTACTGAAAACAGTCATGGCTTGTAAACATTTCTTATTTTTTTCATACATAAGGCTGAGGGTGAGATTAACAACAGCAAGTAAATAGAACCCAACACGAATTTGTTGACAAATAATGAAATACAAAATAGGTCTGCTTTTCAGATACAGCCATCTCTCCCAAGATGCCTAATCTAATCCAAATCAATAATATCCATCATAATACACAATATTATCTAATCTCTATTTGCAGAGTTACTTAATCGTGGAAATACTATCATTGCTTATTTTACTAAGTAAACCTGTCAGGGGTCTAACATAAATCTAGGGTGATAATGCCACAATTATTTTGCTGTGAGGGTGCAGTTTGGACCTTCCTAATATGTATAGGATATTTTTGCAATTCATTGTTGCTGTCCTTGTTGTATTCTTACAACTATTGTTCTTGTCATCTATTATTATTAGTGGTATAGTTATTATCATTTATTGTTGTCATTCTTATTTGTTCATCTATATTGGACTACATCTCATGTTTTCAGAAGTGGTAATGTAGGGTTTTATAAAGTGCTTGAAAATTGGTTTTTTATCCGTTCAATTGAAATTTTCGGAAAAAATGTGTTTGACAATTGATACTACCCAAAGACTTTTTCTATAGAAGATTATTTTATATAACTTATTTGCATAAACAGTATAGTTGCTGATGTTTTTCCTGCATGAACTTAGGTTGTTATGTTGGATCAGACCTATATGGAGTCTCCTTATTTGATAATTATATTTGTAACTCCTTGTGTATGGATTAATCAATCCCCTTGTATTCTATCGTCTCATTTCATGATCATATCTTTACTACTTGCATGTATATATTCTTGGATTGCCTTTCTGTGACTAAATTTTTCTGTAACATTAATTGCTAAAATTTAGCTTTGTAGATAAGGATGGAGACAATTCCGACGAGTCATCACTAAACGATGTCGAGGGTAAATGTGAATCTGAACCAGCATCGCCTAAGGACAGCGGTGCTTCAGGTTCATCATCTCCCACATTAGGCATTTCAGGTTTAGTAGCTCAAATTGATCCAAAAACTCATCCCAAGCAATGGAGTGGGTTCTTACATAAATTCAAGAAGGCACCCTCAGCAACCTTACATACGTTTAATCCTGGCATTCCCAGCATACCTTCCATTAAGAAGCTGACCAAGAAAAAGAGTAAGAAACTCATGCAGAGCATGCCAGAAATGTCTTCCCATTTAGATGCCGAATTGTATTGTTTCGAGGCTTCATGGACAAATTACTCACTCAAAGAACTCAAAGATGCAACGAATAACTTTAGTCGTGGTTTGTTACTTCTCTTCAATACATAATGCCTTCAAAAAATTTCTCTTTCTTAACATGGACTCCACAATTTTTTGAAGTACTTTGTTTAACCTCTTTGAGATAACATATGCTGTTATGGAACTTGCTTTTCTGCCCCTTGAGATTTACTTGTAACAAGATCCTTACAAGTAATGAACAATGAACAAGTTTTTCAACTATAGTCTTTATTCTGGTTAAACATAATTGCATTGAAGACCATCATTAGAACTAAAAGAATAACAAAATTGTGCTATAGTAAATAAAACATCTAGCTTTTATTTTTGTTCAATTTATTTGTGAGCAAATACATTCTAGATGTCATTTTCTGAAAATAAATATATCACCAAACAAGTGAGACAGATATTTGGAAGCAAGTGTAACAAATTTATTAGTTTGTTTTTCAAACAAGATACATCTCTTACAAGTTGCTTGCAGTAGATTATCATTTTTCCTGCATTTCACTTGATTTGTTGTATAATGAGATAACTCAATATGCTAAATGGCCTATAATATCTTTGGAGCCATGAAGGTCTGTTTCTTTTTGTTTCATCTGTCGGGTATTTATGCACTTCCTATGTTATTGCAAAGAAAACATGATTAGGTTATGAAGTTTATATTGCTCTGCATTTGACATAATTATATATTTAAATAGAACTCATTATGCTAATTGGCCTGCAACTTTTAGATCATGAAAATAAATTTCTTTTGGTTAACATTCTTTCTATGCTATTGCAAAGAAAACATAATTGGAGAGGGAGGTTATTCTGAAGTTTACAAGGGTCATTTGCAAGATGGGCAAATTATAGCAGTGAAACGACTAATTAGAGGTACACCTGAAGAGATGACTTCAGATTTTTTATCCGAGCTTGGAATCCTTGTCCACGTCAACCACCCAAACATTTCTAATGTTATTGGCTATGGAGTTGAGGGGGGAATGCACCTTGTTCTTCCTCTATCACATCATGGGAGCTTAGCTTCTCTTCTTTCTGGTTGGTTCTAAATTTCATTGTTTATATGACTATTCTAATTTTGTAATCATTTGATGATGAATTCTTGTAGAACTTACGAGTGAAAAATACCATTTGAAATGATTGTTCTTAATCTGTATTTGAATATTGTTTACTTGCTTCAGGTCAGAAAGAGAAACTTGATTGGAGAATCAGATACAATATTGCACTGGGCACCGCATCAGGCCTTTCTTATCTTCATGAGGGTTGTCAACGAAGAATCATTCATAGAGATATCAAGGCAGCTAATATTTTACTTTCAGAGGACTTTGAACCTCGGGTAATCCTATGACTTGATTCCGATTGGGTCCATTGAAGTGAAATGTGTTTTTGCTTATATGTTAAGTATCATATGATCCCTCTTCAGCCAATTGTGGTATCCTCACTTTTCTCACCATGCAACTGGTGGAAACATTTTTAATTTGAAATTACCTTCTTTTTTTCTCCTCACATATTTTTTGATATGTGATGACAAATTTTAAGATAATTAAACAAGACACATCTTAGCAAACTTGTATTTTCTGATTTTTTTAATTTGGTCTAGACTTCATTTTGATGCATAACTTTTGATAACTATAGATTTCTGATTTTGGGCTGGCAAAGTGGCTTCCAGATCAATGGATGCACCTCACTGTATCGGAATTCGAAGGGACATTTGGGTATGTAAGCAAAGAATTGTCATGGTTTCTGGTACTTGTAACGTTTTTGTCATTGTTCATTGTTTTTTTTTTCCATATATGTATTTCTTTTACATATTTGAGCTTCTTTATTGAACTACAGCTACCTTGCTCCTGAGGTTTTCACGGATGGCTTGGTTGATGAGAAAACTGATGTCTATGCTTACGGAGTCCTTTTGCTAGAGATCATCACTGGACGTCCCGCTTTGGATGAGTCTATGCAGAGTCTGATTATGTGGGTATGTATTTTCTTCGTACAAATGCAAACCAGAAAAGTAACCGTAGTTGGAAAGTGAGGACTTGTTTGGAAAATTACACTTTAGCCTAATGTTAACCTTTTATTTTGGATAAATAAGTAATTAATATTTCTCTCGAATTGTTTATTGTGTGAAAATTTGGGAGAAAACCAGCATATGATAAGCATGACTTGTTATGGTCTAGAATCAGTATAATAGATGGTATATGATCAAATAGTAAATAGAGACCATAAGATGTTTTATTGCTGCCCTTGATAAAACCTTGCAATGTTAAACCCTTATTACCAACAATAAACTTCTTTCTTTTAATTCCTTCCAGGCTAAACCTTTGATCAATACGAAAAACTTTGAAAAACTTCTTGATCCTCACCTTGCTGGTGCCTGTAACTTGGAGCAGCTGAATGACATGGTATGGATTGCTTCGCAATGCATTAACGAGGACCCAACCGAACGTCCAAAAATGAGCCAGGTAACTTATTGCAGTAGGAAAAAAAAGACCATACAAAACCAAAGAAGTCTTCACATGGTTAACTGAAAAACGGCCAAGTTGTAGGTATTCTGTTATTTTTACTTCCCACTGACAAGCTATCAGCTGTCTCTAGTTATTGCTGTGCCAGAATTGAACTTTTAAATGGCTTCCTAGTATTAATAATGAAATGTCAAGTTAAAATGAGGGAGCAGAAATAGGTAGGATGAATAAATAAAATCTAGTAGAGAGATAATTTGGGAACATGTATTCTCTCATTTGTTGATCAACGATCTAGTTATCTTACTGTCTATGGAAGTACAATAGTAGGGGAAAGATAGTTTTTAGATTTTGATATACCCTCCATAAGTCTTTATATTACTTCACCGAATCACCGGCATCCAAACAATCATTAATACATGTCTTTACCTCTTTTAGTTTCTAGTAGGCTTGCTAGACATTCTCATGTAATGCTAAAGATAAACAAGGTTGCACTTGCATGCTAGAGATACTACCCAGAACACACTATTGAACTTTAGAGTTCAGCATTTTCTATGTATAGTGTTTCTTATCTAACATCTAATGATATTTCATTCCACAATGGTTATGTCTTACTGCTCTTCTGTCCTCTCTAAGGATATATCAAGTATCAAGGATTTGAGTGTACCTTATTGATTGAGGAAGACCGTGAGTATATAATATACAAGGTGGGTTCATGGGCCAAAAATAACACAAAATCAAATTTAGCATACCACAACCAAACCCTCATTGTCTGATAACACTCCTCATGTGCGAAGAACATTAACAAGTTTCCCTGGATGCAGCTATATTGACAACCTGTAATTTTGTTATATGTACTCATGTCCTGATTCAGGGAAAGTTGTTATCGCGTTCAAGTAAAATCAAAACTAAAAAGATCTAATAGTCGCTCACATGTAAACCAAATCATGTGTTACTGTATGGATCTTGTGCTGAAGTTACTTAAAAGACAAGATATGGAGTTGGGATGGATGATAGGTCTTAAAGAACTTCATCATGAAGAAACACAGATGAAGAAGATGCTTATTATGGTTGGACGGATGGTTGAAGTAACCGTCCCCGAGATAACATAGAGGTCTTGAGTTTCAATCTCACACTTGGATGTTGCCCACTAAATTATTAATTACCACATATGCATCCATAAGTTTGACCCAATCAGGTGAGATGTTTCAGAGGTGGTAAAAAAGGTAAATGGGCAAGGGGTACCCCAGTAAGATAACAAAAGACATCATGGATGAAAGCTTGTTTTTTTCTAGTCAGCTTGGAAATATTATCTCATGAAAAAGATGAAGCATAGTATAACTCTAGAATAGAAGATTCAAGCAATATTAGCTCCATTTAGAAGGTTGTTTTAGTTTATCCAACCTTTCTTGTCTATATTTTATCTACTTGTGTGACTTATCTGTTGTATGCTAGTCTTAGCTTTTCTTCCTATATTACTAGTTAGTAGTTTCCTTCACGTCCAATGATGCATTTATGTTTTTGTTTGCACACAATCTCGCATGCAGTCTGCCCGTTTGTTTCTTTTATATCCTACCCCCAAACCCTATATCTACTATGTGGGATTTACCAAGTTGGTTTGGTTTAATGAGGAAAGGCTGTTTTATTTTCTTCATGTGATGCAGATTTACAGGATGCTAAGTGGTGATGAAGGCATTCCTGATTGCGGCAAGAAGTTTATAAAGAGGGCTGCCTTCAGAAGGAGAAAGTCATCGCAGATCTCTGATGAAGAACATTTGGTACCCCAAACCCCAGTCCAACATGAAATGAAGTTTTAAAAGTTTGTGTTGGCTGTTGAAATTTGGAAGAGCCAACTTGTATTTTCGATTAGTTCCTTTTGAGGGAATGTGTATGCTTCAAACAAAGAATTAACGAACGCGAGAGTGGGATAGGCGAGAAAGACTTAGTAGTGCGATACCATGTATAGTATATGGTTATATCTATGCTCTCTTCTTGTTGTAAAATGGTAACAAGGATTCACAAATGAAGATGTGTTTTCAGATCTTAGATACCTTTTTTGACCCATATTTTGGCTTCTTTTATTACTCATCCAACAATGCTACACAATCTAGCTTTTGACACCATTAAGAATTAATGTTTAAAAATAAATTCACAAAAAAGGATTAATTAATGTTAAGTTTACTTGAAATATTTTATAAAAAATCTTGTTAAAGACCCGATTTCTTTCCCAACGAAAACACCTAGAGCCATAAAAAACACAAGTTCACAGCAAGAAAACCAGTCAACCTATGAAGTGTGATCATTATATTATATTAATCCAGTATTTCAATCTGTTGCTCTAATGGACCACCATAGTGTTAGTGTACAACAATAAACTAAATACCATTTCATATAAAGAATTTCAAAACCACAAAATTGCTCCTAGTAAAATTGTGTTAGTATTCATCTTCGAAAACCATCTCTGATGCCACCAGGGTTCAAATTAGCGTTTTCTCGACTAAAATCTCCTCGCCCACCCTTATTGACGTGGTAATCTGAAGGCGATGTTGGTCCTTTCTTGTACCTATTCTCTCTCCGAGGATCATTGTTGGGTTCACTTTGACCAAATTGCCGACTGCTACCAGGGTTTTGACTTTCAGGTTCAAACCTTCTTCTCATACCAGGATCTGAAGCATTCACGGGCCTCATGGCTGCATATCTGTTCTCTGATCCAGGACCAGAAGCATTTGTGGCTGCATATCGGTTATCTGATCCAGAACCAGAAACATTTGTCGGCCTCGTGGTTGCATACCTGTTTTCTGATCCATTTGTTGGTCTTGTGGCTGCATACCTGTTATCTGGTCCAGGAGCAGAAGCATTTGTTTGCCTTTTGGATGCATACCTGTTTTCTGATAAAGTTGTATCCATATTTGATGTTTCTGGAGGTGAATCTACTTCAAATGCCTCCTCACAAGACATATCCTCCTCAGAACCAGATTCATCCAAGTTTTGCTCCACTTTTTCATTTAACATTGCTGCAACCTTCTTTTTGCCCGGCCCTTTCTTTAATGGCCCAAACTTGACATGTCGGACAACAATGTATGCTTGTTTTGCCTCTACTCTAGGCCCACTTTCCACAAGGGTAAATTCATCAACCTGCCCAAGGAAAGCTAATTATATTTTTGAAGATTGAAGAAACCCAATTGCAAAAAGAAAGCCCCAAGGGTAGTTATCCAAAAAACCATGGAAAGAATGAAATGTACATCAACTTACCAAAGCAGCGAAACGTGTTAGCAGTCCTCCCAAGTCCTGATCTGCAGTACCCACTGCCATACACTGGGTAACAACAAGAATGTTCTTAAATTTCATCCCACTTCAACTATTTGTGAAGATTGGTTTATTACTATTGGAAAATCAATCGCTGTCAAGAATGAGAGAGAGAAGTAAATTAAACATACCTTGACCCGATGACCACGCTCAGTTAATCGCCTAACACCATCTGCTTTTGTTTGCAAATCATGCCCATCCTAGACAAAACAGCATTTTGTGAATTAAAAGATTAATAATAGAATTAAGAAAACTCAAGAGACTCTGCTAGACTTGTAACTCGTCATTTTTTGGTCATAACTAGTTTTGCTTTTCACCTATTTGGAACTTGGAAGTCCCTCCTCCTTAAAGGCAACCAAAGATCTAATACCTTCAAGAGCTTCAAAAAATCACGCAGAATATTAAATGGACAGCAGTAACTTGGAAGTCCCTTCTAGTTTAATATTACTGCCCTAATCATGGTTGTAAAAATCGGTCGAGGTGTACGCCCCAAGGTGTAGCTCAAGGCAAGGCAGTGGAAAAACGAACCTGAGGCGGCGCCTCTTCTCGGTTAGTGGGGGCGTACACCTCGAGTCACTGAGGCGGGTCTGAGGCGCATGAGGCAGGGCTGAGACGCATGAGGCGGAGCTGAGGCGATGCTCATGTATTATGGATTTAGGGTTTAAAATACATAGGTTTCTCTCTGCTTCCTCATGCTCGTCTCATCCAGTCCGCGAGTTCTTTTGCAGTTCTCCATTCACCTCATCTCGTCCAGCCCTTCGCAAGTTCTTCTGCAGTTCTCCATACACCTCATCTCCTCCATTTAACTTTTACGAGCTCTTATCCGGTTCTCAAGGCTCCCATATTGAGAATATATATACATATATATTAACTTTTACGAGCTCTTATCCGGTTCTCAAGGCTCCCATATTGAGAATATATATACATATATATATATGTATATATATATATATATATATATTCAAACTGGGAGAGGAGATATAAGACATATTTATATATATTAAAATAGAGAATTTGAGTAAGGAAATATAATTTATTTACAGTCGTGTAATGACAATGTTATGTGGGTTAATATATCATTACGTTGTGTCCATTGTCCACCGTCCCGACAGGTTTTCTTTGTTTGTATATATAATATGTATTTTTAACAAGTGATAAAAACAATATCAACTACATCTATTAATATAATTTGAGATTTTAATACTATTATTAGATGTGTATTAATATACATAAAATATTTTTTTTATTTTTATTTTCCGCCTTGGGGCTTACGCCTCGGACCGCCTTGAGGCTTACGCCTCGCCTCACCAAGGGAAAATGCCTCGCCTCACGTTTACGTACTTTAAAACCTTGGCCCTAATAGGTTCTATTTTTCAAGATCTCATTAAAAGTTTTAAACCCCTCTTCATGAAAAGACCCATTTATTTAAGAATATAAGATCCCCGTGGTATCGATATGTCTTTGCTGCCTACACATTTGCATTGAATCTGGTATGGATGGGTTCATTCATGGTATTGCTACTTAACCTTTTAGGTTCATTATGGTTGGTTCCATCCTTTGTATGCCTATGAATTTTCAACATGTCAAGGGCAATATAGGTTGTTGGACTAAAAAACAAGCGCTTTATCCCAACTAGAGAGCATATGCTATAAAGAAAAAATGAAACCCAAAAAAAAATATAAAAGAGCAAAATACAAAAGCAAAATAAAGATGTCAACACTAGGGTTCGAGACGTAAAAAGTGTTTCACACCCTTTTCTAAGGCCAACTCCTTTGGTATACTCCATCCATGCAAATCTCACTTAAGTACTTCCCACAATGTCAACCTTTGAATTCAACAGCATATGTTAGAGATGATGAAACCAGCTGAAACGATGTTGCCTTGTTCTTAGCAACCCGCACCACCACAACCTTCTTTTCCATATCCTCATTTCTAGTCCTATATCTCATCACGTGAGACCACACACCCCAACATTAGTATATCTGGTAAACTCATCTTGTGCGCATAGTCTCTTTTAGGCAAGGGCAAATCTTAAATCTAACAGCAGGTCACGGATATAAAAAACCTTTTGGAAGGTCATTTAACCAAAGGACCCCAAATATATCAAGTATCTCCGGTTTTGGTGATTTTACATTTTCTGGATCAGTGAATGAACACCAGTTACTCAACTATAAGCAAATCAGATTTGATTCAAAGAACCAAATGAATCTTCCAGCACAGAACTGATTGCAGAATTATAAAATACACAAGGGAGTTTCTGGAACAAATGAAGCTACAGGAACTTCCTAACATAGACTGGCATGCCTTCGATCAACAACTATAATGCAACAGGCTTTAATAGCGCTGATGCGGACTTGTCCAGTGTGAACCAAAATATTAAGCAATAAATGCATCATATTAAATTTACTAGTCATATTCTTATACTAAAACAAGTTTATTACCGATTGCATAGACAACATGATTTTGAGAAAATATATGCACAGGATTTGAAGAAACATGATTCAAGGAAGGAACTTACGATTTTACAAGTAATTCGCACTTCTTTCATAGATCCTTTACGTAAAACCACGTCAGACTGCAAAAGTTAAAGATATATATAAGACAGATGGATAACAACAAAATCAACAGAGTGATGATGCCCAGATAGGATTGATGAATCTAAACAAAGCGATTAGGCATTTGTGTGTTCAAGTAGTTCTCTACTTTATCCAGTTAAAGGATAAACAGACTCTAACTAATCAAGGTGAACATAATACATTTAAATGTCGAAAGACAATAAAATCAATCAACCCCTACGTACAAAGTCTTTCTTATTAGGTTTTTTCGTGATTGAACTTGGCACCTAGCTAACACTGATCAGAATCACAAGACTAGGGGGAAAATGAAGTTACCATGATCTTGTTAAGAGTTCAATCTATTGTTTAATTGGGTGACACCGATGTAATATTAGTGTTTATTTTGGGCTTTGGGGATTTAGATACTAGGATTTGTATCTTTCAGTCTCTTTCTTGTTCTGCCAGCAGTATTAGGATTTTACATATAGAGTTGTAATCCCCAAGGAAAAGAATTATAAACCATAGAATAATATTGAACTTTTAACAAGACATTTTTCAAGTGAATCAAAATTCATGTGTGAAGATTCCATATCTGGTGTAAAGCCCTTCATCTTGGGTGTGAATCCCTAGAGATAGTAGTGTTTATTTGGTTGAAGCCTTAAACTTAGCTTACATTACCGTGTTCCCAAATGAAATATGTAACACCACACCCCAATCCAAGCTGTGAGTGGGTTGCATACATTTATCAAAACATGATATATATATATATATATATATATAACTCACAGAAGCGTTTGTACATGTTTCAATACACAGATCACGCACAAGGGATCAGTCTTTACTTAACTACTAAAGACATCTAGTACATCACAAAGGAGCCAAAAGCAAAGATCGCAGCGGAGGAATCTGATGGCTACCAGACCAACCCACTAAAAATGCAAATAGGTTCCCTGATTGAAGATAGTCATTAGTGCTAGGGCCCTCATTCTATCTCGTGGAAAGTCTCTCTCTCGTGGACTAGGGTAAGTTTACCCAATATTTGGCTTAAACAATCCTATCTTTATAGGAAACAAAACAAAACCATTTGGATTCCAACTTGTTGAACCCACTTAAGTATCTCCAAGTCAATCTGTTCAATGTATCATTTCCTCGCGTATTTAGCTTTCTGCTATACATCCATACGTTTTAAGCACAAAGCCCTGTGATATACATGGTTTTGCATTTTCAAACATGTAAAACAGTTTCATGCCAAGATTCATGTAACAATGTGTCATTTTAGTGCACAGCACACCTATGATGTATTTAAGCACAAAGCCCTGTGATATACTTAAATCGTGGATGTGTGCTCATTCCGATAGTAATAACATATCTTTGGATCTTTCTTAAAAGGGTCGGGAACAATTCTTCATTCCCACATAGTCAGCCCACAATGCCCGGATTCACCACGTGCTTTCCCACCATTTGTCCTGTTCATCCCGTCCCTACATGGTAATCGAACTCAAATGGACAAGATACTTGATACCCGTTTCAATCCATTCTATGTTATGATACATGAAACATACATATACACACACGCCTATGTCATGAAAACGCACAACAGTACATCGACATAAAACGTAAATCAACATACTTATATACCACTAGCATGCATGGCAAGTTAAAAGAACAAAAAGCTCATGCAGTCACCTCGTTTGTGGCATCGAATTGATTAAACTAAGAGTAGTTTTGTATTAGGTGAATCTCTCGACAACACAAACCCAAATCCGGTCTCAATTGTAGTTTCGGTCACGAATCCTAAATCTCCTTAAGTATTATTTCATTGCTTCCTCTCTTCTCTCAATTTTGTGTGTGTTTGCTTGAGTTTACAGGAAATCTCAAAATGAAGAAGAAATGAAGACAGAGATAGGTTTACATAGGAAGGAGAGTGAGAGGACTTGAAGAGGTGTGCATTTATTGAACCCAATTTGTGGCTTCAAAAGAGTATGTTGAATACTCTTTAAATTGCCGCATTATCTATTTAAATGACGTATAATAATTATTATATATGATATTAAATACTTGTTTGATATTTACGTAATACTTTGTTTCAATTCATAACTTTATAATGCATAATTCTTAATAAAATCTAAATGCATCGTTGTGATCCACATACTTTTAACTATAGTATGACATGAAAAATGTCACAATGTGATTCGTACCAATCACGATGTATTTTCCGACCTCGAACTTGTTTTTCCTTAGCATTGTTTGAGCAGGGATTTTTAGGTGTATAACCTTAAATGAGATTTTAATTAAATCCATGACCTTCTCATGAGTATAAAGCCATTTTTTCTTTGATAAGCCAGGAGGTCATGAATTTAATTAGAAACTCATTTAAAGTCATATCCCTAAGTGACCCGAGTTTGAGCAAAGTCTCCGCCCCTTCGCTCAGCTACACGCCTGAGGGCTCCTGAGCATTGTTAGAAAGCATATTTTCGCATATCATTGTCCCAAATTATGAAAATCATGTGCTTCCTACTTCACCACGAATTTACGATGGCCTTCAACATTTATGGTTAGCACATAAAATGATGTCCGGTCCCAAATCCTATCACACCGTTGTCATCGTCGTTCTAAACCGAGCCAGATGTATAATCCTTCTGACAGAAACCCTCCCAAAGATATATGATTATTAGGATAACATTTGTCATGAACATAATTTGCATACTACATGATTGTTTCTATGTATACATGCATACATACATACACACACACACACACACACATATATATATATATATATATATATTATTGGCCCATCTTCAAAACCCATTGATAAACAATATAATTCAGACTATTTACTTCATTGAACCTACGTTCTACTCCGTAAGACGTTTAACCCCAAAATCGATCACCTAGAGCAAATTAGAACCTTTTCCTGCATCAGTTTATTTTCAAGCTGAAAATCCTAAATCAAGCTATAGCCATCCCAAAGATCATAAAACCTAGTCATATCCTAACTCAGGGTTGGGTTTCGGTTAGAACGGAAGGTATGTTGAGAAGCGTAAGAAGAGATCTGCACCCTTTAATTAATCCTAATTGAATGTCAACACTAATGAGGTGCACCAAGATGCACCGAATCAGTTCCCTTTCTAAAGCGCAATTCATGGGTGGCCATGAGATTAAAAGTGATCAAGGGTTCAGATCTCTTCTTACGCTTCTCAGCATAACTTCCTTTCTCACACGACCCTTCGCCTCCTAACTCATAGCCGCAACTACTCAAAACAATGGAGTACTTAGCACTTATAATCAGGAAGTCCATTTTCCTAAGAATTGGCTACACAAATAAAGGGACTTCATATCAAATATCAACAAAGTGATCAGGTTTAATATCATATATAGTACACAAAGATCGATATGTGTTGTCAAAAATCAAATTCTAACAATCCCCACTTAGGGCCACTTACCCGGCTATCTATGTGTAAAGTGTCCCGGCCCGGCTTCCCCCACCACTTCAATTAGTTAGGGCCGCTTGATGGGCCACCAAGTGTCTCACCACTTCAATTAAGAAAAAAACATAGAATTGAGCAAAAATTGATCTACTTTTCTCAACACGTAGGTAATTCGTCCAATCTTTTCTGAATAATTGCATCACTAGAAAGAATTATAGTTTCTATATGAAAATGAACCAATATCTCCACTTGGTCTTCCATTTATGGACTGATCAGACAAGTTAGAAGGTCAATCAACTGCCCTGGCCCCTTTAACAATATTAAGCAACAGTCAAGAACATGAGCAACGGCTTGTAGTAGAGGGGCACCTACCTTCTTTTTTGTTAGTTCTTTTTCCTTTGCTTGTCTTGCGTATATTTCTTTGTTATAGTCCATGAGTTTGCAAACAGGTGGGTTAGCATCTGCTTGAACCTGCAACACAGAAAAGAAGACAGTTGACTTCAAGGTCATCGCCTCATAGTGATATCAAATATTAATTCTGACAGAAGCACATAAGTAATGCAAAGGCATTGGTCAACTGGTGAGGATAACCAAGGAAGAAATCCAAAAGCTAATGCATTTAAGCAATGTCCACACACAGCCACAAAATTAACATGACATTTCAACTTAATTGGGTTTGTGGGGCATAACAAAAATAATAATGTCCAACATATTTTAAAAAATGGAAATTCTGGACTAGCACACAAATACAAAACACCAAATTCAAATAGAGCACATTGTTTGCTATGACATAGACTAATGTTGTACCTCAACTAAATCAATACCGAGTCTCCTTGCACGATCCAATGCTTCATGCCTTGACACTACACCATGTCCTGCAAATTTTGCATTGTTTACAAGATTAAGAAAATCACAAAGTCTTCAGTAAATTGAGATTTTCAATTCAAATTGCCTCCTAACATATGCATTCAATCTACAAGATGGATATTGTTAGTCCATATGAACACAAGACCCTCAAGTAACTGTTCTTATGAAGGCATTTAAGGTAACACGGGTGTGAACTCCTCAATCTAGCCCACCTTGTACTAAATGCTAATAGTAAAAAGTCATGACTAAGAAAGCATCCTGCTTATGCTAAAGATGTCCGACATTGGGGCATTATATATAAGGTTCATCACAGCCTTGTCATTGACTTGCAAGAAGATGAACTTTTAAATAGAGATATAGATATAATATTATGTATCTAAATATAGACACACACAACACGCAATAAGTTGATAGAGTGTGCAAGATAAACATGCATCTATCACTGAGTTCTGTAAAACAAAATTTTAATACAAGCTATGACCAACATTTTGTCATCAAATATGATCTAATATAGACCACTAAAACAAAAACAAAAAACACTCGGTAATAGACATTTAGTAATGCCAAAGTCCCCCACCTTGAAAATGTGCTTACTCTTTACACCATCCACCCTTCCCCTTAAATGAACATTATTAATTGCTAAACATACAGTTACAGCCAAATATAGTATTGCCACAATAACAGATCAAATACAAGTTAAACGTATCTTCTTTGAACTTCTGTCCAATATAAGGGTGCTAGTAAGTTAAAAAGCACTAGAAACAGCACAAGTACTGCATAGGCTAGAAGCAGTAGTGTGTATTAGTCCCACAATCGTGCTCAAAATACTCAATTGTTATCAAATAGACTGGGAAAGGGTATTGATGACAACATATTTACATTGCACAAAGGTAATGATTCCGGTATCTGTTTAGGAACTAAGAACCAATCAATTTATAAATTTTGAAATAATAAAGATGTGGAATATAAGATACAACAGAGATTTGAATGATGATAAATATACCAGTCAATTTAATAAGTTAGATCAACAAAAAGTCAACTTGTCCATATTCACTGTTGTGATAACGAAGATTTGTTCACTTCGCAGAAGATGCTAACTATTAGGACGATGATAGAGAGAAAAGGTGAATCCAATCACTATAATCACTGAAGCCCATCTAAAAGTTTACAGTATCACGCTTTTCTCTATACAAACTACATGGTCTGTGCCTGACCAAGCTAAACAAGAAAATTTAACAAACATCATCCCAGTTTATCAATCCATTCTATATTTCTATTAATATCAAATTTTCACACAAAATGAAGTCATCGGAAGGTTGTGTGAATACATTTCTACAAATAGTTCAAAGATCTAAATTGCTGCAATTCAATTTTCAGTCACATGGGCTTAACTTTTAGTGGAAGTGTGTGGTGAAGGTTTTATACCTTAGCTAGCTACAGAGAATAACTTCTAGTTCATGTTGAAAGTGAACATCCTAAAACTATCAATTCTTATATGTTATGTAAGAATGCAAATCTTTCCCACAACTGAACTAAAAGTCTAAAGAAGCAAGCATGTGTCCTAAAGCTTGGAAACTCAACTAATTACCCCAAAGATGCTTATCATACTTTTTCTTGATAGGTATCAAAAGGGTAATATTATTGTTCATCTGTTATATATTGTGCTTGATCCCAATTGTTTTGCAGATTTATGTTTACCTCTCTTCCTCATTGGTGTCAATACGTATGTCCTTATAAATATTGAGATGTATATTCAGTTTCAAACAATCTTTTAGATTACAAAAGTTGTATAAACTACAAAAATGTAAACGAATTAGCAGGCAAACCTTCATCGGTCACAAGTCTAACATATTGGGCAGATATTTGCTCATTCATTCGTGGACGCCCCTTATCCTTATCCTTTTCTTCATACTTCGGCTTGACCTAACAAACCATTTCAATACAAATAGCCAAATCAATACACAAACACAAGCACACATAGATATTAACAATATATATAAGTCGTTGTTATGTTTTCACCAAGTTCTCAAATGATATGAAGGCTTTCACTTGATTTTAAAATATTAGAATCATAATTACAATATGTTCTGCAACATAAAGATTACAATGAATTACAACCACAAGGGTGGTGCCCAAATGGTTTGAGCTTGGGCTCCAAAGGCCAAAAGTCCTGGAGGTCCCAGGTTCGAATCCAAGGAGAAACAAAAATCCCCTTGTGGCCACGGAAGTTCAAATGCGGTGACTCCGGGCTACCCGCTAAGCAGGTGGTCGCCCTGGGATTAGTCGGCTCGCATAGCAGGTTGGATATCCAGGTTAATAAAAAAAAAGATTAAAATGAATTACATACTTCAAGATTATAAAAACATAAGTTGATTGACCATGCCAATAGATCATAAACTATGATTATAAACATCATCGACATCTAAGCAATTAATGTATACATATAATTATTCCACCAGTGTATTCAGACAGAGAGAGGATGTGGCGAGTAAAGACCTGAACAGGAGCGGCATAGTATCGCACATAGTTGCCAAGCTCGGATCCTGTTTTATGAATAGCCATACTTGGACTAGTCACAGCACCAATGCTAGCTTCCCGGATAACCAAAGAGGGCCCATGAATTTGAAAATAGCAATGTCTGAACTGACTTGACAAAGCTCTCAGCTGTGCTTGCTTCATCCGGCACCAAGACAACACCATTCTTCTTCCTAGGTCACATCAATCAAACCATATATTAAGCTAACTATATATGAAATGTAAGGCGAAAAACACGTTAAACTTATATAGTTTGTATAAGTGGGTCATTGTGTATTGAAGCAAGTTTCATTTGTATAGTTCGTAAAATTGAGTAATCAAGTAAAACGCCGATACGTTCTATCAACTCAACAACATACACAAACCAAAAACCTAATCAACTAAATGATCAATAAAAAATTTAACTTCAATCACATGATCGGTCTTTATGAAAACCAAAGAGCAATAGACAGCGTAGCCATCAACTCCGTCTAATCGAATCACGTTCAACAAAAACACAAAACCCATTAGGACTTTTTAGTACCACTGTGAAAAACTAATTCGTAACAAACAACGTCGAATCAAGCAAAGAGAGTTAGGTATACATAGAATTAAAACCTAATGCCAGCGTATTACAAATTGTGTGTCCATCGACGTCAATATATAGATGGATCAAAATTCAATCAGATTAAGAAAAAATTACCCAGAAGACGGCAATAGCTCGCTTTGTCCCTCTAGAAACGGAGCTACAGAGATGACGCAAATATCGATTGGAGGAATAAGGGGGCGGACTGGGGACGGAATCAATGGAGCAGACTCTGGTAGAGGTGGCAATAACCACCAAATTTTTGTGCTTTGATAAGTTAATCTTTTTTTGGTTATTTACATTGTGTTTTATATCATTAGTGTTTGATTTTGTGCTTTACACGATAAAAATATTTCTTCTTGAAAATATTAAAGTTGGCTAAGTCACTCGATGATAACATTTATATATTAAATTAATAAGGATTAATAATACCTTTTATATATAAATCCATCTTATTATTATTGATTGGTCTTTTGATATATAATAGAGAGCGGGATGAGTTATTATGCAACCATTTATATTTGTACAACTAATACAACTCAATCTCAACCGTCCATTTTATTTGATGAATATATGATTTCATAAAAGTTTTGATTGTTTTCTAATATAAAGTATTGGTCATAATTAATGAACTATAGGCATCTTCCATAAATATTCAAATCATAATAAATGAACTTTCATCGTTTCCATAAATATCTCTATTGATTGGGTTGCATTGGTTGTACAAATGGACATAGTTACATATAAAATATACTCTCTCTCTCTCTCTCTCTATATATATATATATACATATATATATATAGTTTATTTCAAATACAACTCATCACATTTGTACAACTAATGCAACCCAATAAATTGATATATTTATGGAAATTATAAGAGTTCATTTATTATGATTTAAATATTTATGTAAGATGAATATGGTTCATTAATTATGATCAATACTTTATATTATAAAACAATTAAAACTTATATGAAATCACATATTAATCAAATGAAATGGACGGTTGAGATTGKGTTGTATTGGTTGCACAAATGTCAAGGGTTGTATAATAACCAACATCTATATATATATATATATATATATATATATATATATATATTAGATTATGTAAAATTGTAGGCTAAAAGTTTAATGTTATTTATTATAATTCAGGAATTTTCTATTTATATAAAGAAGAGAAAACGAATTAATCAAAAAGAAATCAAAAGAAAAGGGAAAAGGGATTTATACGGAAACTTATCCTAACTATATTAGGATAATATCCTTATAATGTAGAGAGAATATAATGAGATATATTCCAACACCCTCTCCCAAATTGGAAATACCTAACTTGTTAAACAATAAATGAGATTGTTTATGTCAGAGAGCCTTGGTGAAAATGTCTGCTAACTGCGTTATAGTATTGACAAATGATAGAGAGATCAATCATTCCTGAATGGCGTCATGAACAAAATGACAATCTAGTCCAATGTGTTCGGTATGTTCGTGGGAAACTAGATTTTTGACAATATGAAGTGCATATTGGTTATCACAAAATAAAGGGACAATTTTTGGATGTCGAACACTGGGGCTTAGTAATAGTCCTTTCAACCATTTCAACTCATAGGTGATCTAGCCATGATCTGATATTCTGATTCAGTAGAGGAAAGGGATACAATGTTGTTTCTTCGTTTTTAATGAAACCGGAGAATCGCCAAGAAATATAATCCATCTTGTAAATGACATTCTATTTAGAGGGAAAGACTTTCAATTAGAATCACACCAACTTGTCATGGTCAACTTACTATCAGAGCGAATAAGAATTCCTTGTCCCATACTGCTCTTCAAATAACAGACCACTCGAAGTGCAACTTCCTAACGTTGGCTACTAGGCTGATGCATAAATTGTGAGTATATAGACAACATAGGCCAAATCTAGTCATGTTACATCCAGATAGATCAGTCATCCCACAAGATGCCTATACGACTCAGGATCGTTGAGAAGAGGACCATCAACAAGTACCCGTGGATGATTTTGTTCAATGGTAAAGGCACATGGTTTGGCTCCTAACAAGCCAGTTTTAGATATAATATTCAAGGTATACTTTCTCTGGCATAAGAATACTCCAGTAGGATTTTGGGCAACCTCAACCCCAAGAAAGTATTTCAACACTCCAAGATCTTCCATGTGGAAACAGTGATTGAGATAATTTTTGAAAGCTGGTATAGCAGTGGAATCATTACTAGATATAAGAAGATCATCAACATATAATGGGATATTAAGTTGTATAGCACCCCTAGTATAAGTGAAAAGTGAGTAACAGAGTACGATTAGAGAAATCCATATGCTTTCAATGTTGTGACCAATTTGGCAAATCAACAACATGGAGCCTGCTTCCATTCAAAGACTTTCAAAGTCGACAAACTAAGCCCCGATTTGGAGATTCAAATCACAGTGGAAGTTTCATACACACCTCTTTATTTAGATCTCCATGCAAGAGAACATTAGAACCATCTAACCTTCATCCATAAGTGATGGAAGATGTTCGGAAAAGGTTTGCTCGCATGATGCAACCTAGAAAAAAAGGTATGATCAATTAATGGAATCAGAAAAGTGCACGAAATCAAGGTCAAAATGTATGCTCATAAAGCCATCACTTACTTGGAGTATATTGTGGAAAGAGCTCAGCACCGCTTATGCACCTTTAATGACAATGATCTCATTAACTTGAACCCACGAGATTTGATTGACCTTTGTGCTTGTACTGGTGCCCATTTTGACAAGGTAAAAAGTTCAACATGGCACTTGGAAAAATCAAGGAAATGATGGAAGAGCTTTTTCGTTTTAGAACCAAGACAGATTTTTAGATCACTCTGGAATTTGGCTTTGAAAGACTATCCATGCCACCGACTAACTAGCACTTGGATAACATCAAGCACGTTCACTCAGCACCAATTGTGACAGATCCAAAGCTTAGCTTGATCTACATAAATTAACGCAAGGAAAATAAGTTCTTTCGTGTCTCTGGATCCTTCAAGTACTTAAACAAAATGATTAATTGGCTAAAGAAGGAAGTGGTACAGAGACTAGGATCTCTATGGATCTCTATCAATAAATTCCTAAAATATCCTAACTATATTAATTTAGGACTAACAATCACAAGTTTTAGGTCGAGCATAGTATTCATACTGGAAATTATGATCTGCCTAGAGCCTTTTCATTTGTTTAGTGCAACTCTTGTAATGAAAGAATTATAGATGCAAATTACTTTCATACCCGCAATTAGATATTGTAAGGGACCCTAACCTAATAAGGTCTTTCGTTGAAAAAAGTCAACACCTCGATGTAGGTCCGAAATACTCCTTTGTTCCATAGACGTGGGGCTATTTACACTACTGTAAGAGCAACATCAATACCAACTAGATAAAAGCAATAAGTCCGTAAGGGAACATGCTTCTGGTTGCCGCCTCCTGCTGTTAAAAAAGTTTCAAGTCGGAAATATAACGGGGGTTCTGAAGCTTAGGAGATGAGGTAGTTTCGATGTCGTTGGATTGAAATGTAATTAGCTATTGAACAACCAAATATAGAGATAATGTTATGAGATATATTCCAACAATCTCATTCATACAAATCATACAAACTGATCAATGCATATATTTATAAAAGATGATTAGAGTTCGTTTATTATGATTTAGATATTTATGAAAATGATTAGAGTTTATAATTATGATCAACACTTTATATTAAATACAATTGAGATACTATGAAACCAAATATTCATTAGAGTGAATGGACGGTTGAGATTGGATTACATGATTTATATAAGCGACATGTTTGTTTTTCAAACCTGCTTCATATAATTCATGTAATTTTTAGGTAAATTGATCAACATTTTAACTATAATACAATAATTGTTTATAAAAAATATGAGTACCTACCATAAAGATTCATTACACACGGTTTTTTGAATTTTTCATTTCTTTTTTTCTTTCTTCATTTCTTATTTATTATTTATTTAAAAAATAAATTATTTAGAAGGTTAGAGGTTTAAATCTTATCAAAGGTGAGAAGGATGTATGAGTTTATTTGTTGCATTTGTCGTATATAAAATATTATATACTTAAAAAAACATTGAATAAGTAACATCCTAGTTCTATGGACATTGTTTTTGCAATTATTTTATAAAAGTAATTAAATACATCCAAAATCCTAATGAAAATCTAAATAAATATTTTTTTAGGATAACAAAATATGGGTGTTTGTTTATGCTATGATTATTAGTCAACGAGTCAATCGTCAGTCCTTTGATTATATCTTGTCAGTCAATGCATCTGTAACATCCCAATTCTAATTTCCCATATTATTTGCTAAGTGCGCCTAATTTACATTTTACGAAGGATATTATGTGCTTACATGCGAGAAAATGTTAAGCATGTTGAAATTTTACTACGTGTATTAGTAGTGACCATATAAGGTAACCAATGATTTAGTGGGAGTTTGGGGATGAAATTTTAAGGTCATACTTCTTTGGAGTATATGAGAGGATTTAGAAAATTTCATCCCAATCGGAGTTAGATTGAGAAAATTGGAGAAATCGAGTCAAAACGTCAACAATTAAGCTATAGATTCGTAAAACCAAATTTTTTTAAGAAGATCTTTTCTGGAATATTTTTATTGGAAGTTGTAGATTATTTCGTTACGAACGCGTAGGCGAAAATCTCATCGAAAACGGAGCTCCGAGCGAAAATTTATGTTATTTTTAGTGTTTAATGGTCAAAATGAGTACTTAGGCGAGTCAAACCCGACCCAACTCGGATTTAACCTAGAAAAGTCGATTTTAGACCCCATTTTAGGCCATTTTCAGTCCCATAACTTGCACACACAGTAAAGGTGCGAATTACACACACTTAAGCTCAAACAACTTCAATTYTWGGAKWATCAAAGATCAAGTGATGAATTCTTGATGAATATGTGAAAATTATTGAAGGTATACTCCTAATACTAAGTTTAATCTTTGCAATTAGTGTCAATCAAGGAAATTAGGGTTTGCATGTTTGTAATTARTGGATGATTTTGTAAGATTATGGTTTTATGTTGGTGAATATCATGTTATTTTGAATGATTAYACAACAATTTGAAGGTAATCTCATCCTTGTAGAGTTCTTGAAGTTGTAACAAGTATGATGACATTTGGGTGATATAAGCTTAATGCATGTGTAAGATAAGTGTARAAATTGTGATATTATGMTYAGATTATGAATATACATTAGTTAATTCA